AAAGGGTCCGTGCAGTAAGACGCTGTCGGCGGGTGAAGGTCGCCGTGAGTCGCTGTCGCTGTCGCTGTGGTTGTTGTTGTTTATTGTTTCTGCTCCACGAGCCTCTTCCGTGAGAGAACTTTCAAAGTAAATGCCCCGGAAGTTGCGCTTCGGTGCATTTGAAGTCGACTCGGACGATTTAAGGTCGGAAATATTTTCACATTACATTTATAAAACTGTGACGTCACCACAAAGGAGTCTGTTGGATTGAGGGTAGAGGTCAGAAGGTCAACCAAACAAGTCGGACTCTGAAGTTTGACGCGGGGTCAGGGGTCACGTGACTCCTTGTTGTCAATACGACGAGCTCGGAGGCTGTGCTTCCTTTTCCTACAGTCCTTGAACGCATCCGTAGACCAGTTTCCATGGTAACGCGTGACAACAAGATGGTTCACAGTAAGTCGAGAGGAAAAATGTCGTTTCTGACGTTTTTTACTTTTAATTTCATGTTTAATTTGACACAGGATACAGTTACAGTAAAGTTACGATGTTGTTGACCTGAAGTCAGGGGTGGGGGGGCTGGGGGGGGTGTAAAAAAATCGATTCACATCGGAATCGTGACTTCAGCTTCACCGATTCCAAATCCATTCACAAAGATTCAAAAATCGATGAATATTTTTTGACGTGTTGCGTTCATGCTGCTCCGTCCTCACTGGAGGCTCGTGTTTGGGTTTCACTGTCTGCAGGGGGCGCTAGAGCTCGATAAGGAAGAAGCGAGATTTAACAAAGGTGAAATATTTAGGATTTAAAACAAACGTGAACGCGCACGTGTTACGACGTCACCCAGAGGATCACGGGTCAAAGACGGTGAAAACAGTGAACTTTCCACGGAACCAACGAACTTTGTTTGACCGAACTCAGTCCGGAGCGGGTTTTTATCAACAAACATTTGCGCCGTTGAAGACGCGGTGACGTGAACCGTCCACGTGTCTGTGGGTCTGAAACTAATCGTTAAAGCTCGTGTTTTACCACATGATTCCACTTTACAGTTCATCGATGTACCGTAACATCAGACATCGTCAGTTTGATTCACCGCGGACCGAACGGACCGGACAGTTGGGTCAGAATCACGGACGGTCAATCAACTTTGAACTGAAAATCGGGGTTTGAATCGTGTCGTTTCCTGACGGTGCAGCTCCTGAACCCCCCCCCCCCACCCCCCCTCCCCCCGGTGTCAGGTCGGTGGTCCAGGGGGTCCAGGCGGTGCCGCTGACACCTGTGTGTTTGTTCAGTCACTCAGGACTTGGTTCGACGTCGAGCGGAACACAACGACGGTGAGATCTTCTCTCTGGAGGAGGTTTCTCTTCATCAACAGGACATCGAGAAGATCCAACATCTGGACAAATGGTGCAGAGAGCTGAAGATCCTGTACCTGCAGAACAACCTCATCTCCAGGATGGGTCAGAACCAGAACCTTCTTTAGACTTCTTTAAAAAATCAGAGATAGAATGAAAGTTCATGTCAAAGTGAAAAATGTTGTTGTTGTTTTTTTTTTTGTCATTTAAAATGAAATGTTTTTGTTGACGCTGTAGAAAACCTTGGTCGTCTGAAGAAACTGGAGTATTTGAATTTGGCCTTGAACAACATTGAAGTCATTGAAAACCTTGAAGGTACGTTTGAAAATGTGGTCCAACTGAGACCAACTCATGACCCTTGACCTCCTTCATCGTTGTTTTCCTCGTCTTCAGGCTGCGAGAGCCTCCAGAAGTTGGACCTGACCGTGAATTTCATCGGTCGTCTGAGCAGCGTGGAATCTCTGCGACACAACGTCCACCTCAGAGAGTTGTTTCTGGTGGGAAACCCCTGCTCCGACTACGACGGCTACAGGTCGTACGTGGTGGCGACGCTGGTTCAGCTACAGGTGAAAGAAAGAACCAGGTTTTATATTCTGTAGAGAAGAGGAAACAAAGAAACATCAGTGGTTCAACATTCTGACAGGAAGTTTGGATTCACTGGAATATTAAACTCCATGGAGACTTTATGGACTTTGGTCTGAACTAAAATCTCTGATTTTCTCCATGGACTTTGGTCTGAACTAAAATCTCTGATTTTCTCCATGGACTTTGGTCTGAACTAAAATCTCTGATTTTCTCCATGAGGTTTGGTGTGGCTTTGACTTCCTGTTTGTCTTTTTTTTGTCCGTGTGGTCAGTGTTTGGACGGGAACGAGATCAGTCGCTCGGAGAGAATCCGGGCCTGTCAGTGTCTGGAGGAGGTGAGGAGGAGAGTGATGGAGCAGGAGGAGCAGCAGGTGTGGAGGAGGGAGAAGGAGAAGAGAGGAGACACTGGTGACAGTGTGTGGTTAGTAACTGGTTTAACTGGTTATGGTTCAGTTTCCCTAAAGTAACATTTTTATCAACACTGGCTCCGATCAAACGAAGCTAAACGTTAGCCAAAAATGACGTCGACCGTGGACTGAGACTGACGGACACTCTCTGTGTGTAGTCCGCGGCAGCAGGAGGCGCAGCAGGAGGCGCAGCAGGAGGAGCAGCAGGAGGAGCAGGAGTTCTGGAACACACCCTGTTCCTTTACACCAGAGTCTCGTTTGGAGGCACATCGCCACCTGGAGGAGAAGAGGAGAGCCATGGAGAAGTAGGTTTTGATTAAATAACAACAAAGATTTTAAAATGTTTTTACAACAGTTTTTTTTTTTTGGTGCAATTCACTTGATTCATTTCATTTCAGCCACTAGGTGAAACACAGACCACGATCACCACTTTTCAGATTTTCCGATTCTACGTCGTTTGTTTGTTTCTTAAAACGTCAGTAATTTAACGACTTGGACTTTATTTTGTATTAATCTTTCAGAAAGCTAACATTTGTAGAGCTCAGTTTTAGCACGTGCGCTAATGTGTTCTAACGTGTTTCTCCTGTAGGTCGAAAGAAAAAAAACCAAAGCCTCAGAGAACGTTGATCACAGAAGACGGTCGAGTCCTGAACGTCAATGAAGCAAAGTACACACACACACACACACACACACACACACACACACACACACACCTGACCCTGTTCACACGACAATGATACGCTAACTGCAGCTAACTGTAGCTAACTGATACGCTAACTAGCTAACTGCAGCTAACTGTAGCTAACTGCAGCTAACTGCAGCTAACTGCAGCTAACTGTAGCTAACTGTAGCTAACTGTAGCTAACCTTAGCGTCTCCAACATTGTTGTTATTGAGCAGAGTTACTGGGTTGAACGGTTACAGAGGGGCGGGGCTTCTGTTTATTTACTTTAGTCCAC